TAGCATAGCTTCTTTTAGCTTCAAAATTTTTGGACCTAATGAATTGGATATTACAGTACTTGACAGGGACTACAAAATGGTATTATTTTGAACACTGTATCCCGTCTATGAACGAAGTTACAAGCCAAAAACCATCTGAGGTACACGGTCACAGCTTGTTACTTTGTCCCAAATTTGAATATTTCATCGAATTTTTAAAATATGGAATTTATCAACAGGGAATGACAAAGTGACAAGCTGTAACCGTATTGCGCAGATGGTTTTCGGCTTGTAACTTTGTTCATAGTCAAGATACATGTTTGAAAATTATATCATTTTGAAGTACTTGCCAAGTTCTGTTATATCCGGTTCAGACAATCTCAAAATATTGATTCTGAGAGAAACTATGTCAAGATCCGTAAAATGCCGCCAGGACTTTATTTTAGGAGACTACTGTACGCCATTTTTCCCCCTTTTTTGACTTTAGGACCCGAGGCGGACTAAAAAAAAAGCACCTTGAAATCTCCATTTCCTCTTACTTTTTTAAGAAGCGCTGGCGGTCCGGTCCTTTTTCCTTGTTTCCTCTCTCTTTCTCAAAAAGCCAGAGCTCATAAGAGGAAATGAGTTCCATTACGTATGTACATAGGACGCCTCACCGTCTTCTTCTATCCCCGACCCCAATACCAATTTCCATTCAAAATGTCGTAAATTTTTGGCGGTGCCTTCTTCCCTTTCGACCCCATATCTCCTGAAATGGGTTTACTTTTATTTCTTTCCCCCCCCCCCCTTGTGTCGCTTAATTTGGAGCACTTAGTCAAATACCCTTTTAACCTGTTTCAGCTTGCTATTCGATTATACTAGCGTCCCTTTTTTCCAGGTCCCTTTCAATTCCTTTATATCCTTTTTCTCCGGTGATCCAGATGAGCAGCCACACATCCTCTATCACATTTGGAATTCATGCCAATACTGACGACCCTAGGAAAAAAAAGAAGAAGATGAGACACACCGGTGATGATGTTGTTTCTGGAGTCCTCTGAATGGTAGTCTTCTCCTAGATGATCCCTAGATAAATAAATAAATAAATAAATGATGATGATGGCCAGGAGAGAAAAAAGGGAGGAATGGATGGGCTCCAGAGGCTCCGCCCACTTTCATCAATGACCACCAGACAGGCACTCTATTTAAAGTCAAGAGTAGGGGAGCCTGTAGACAAGGCTATGGCCCCGGCCGGCCGCGGACTTCAGACACCTTGAGCGTACTCTTCTCATTACTACTAAATTACTACTGCTGAAAAAAGTGCGACGAGTTGAATTTCAATTCTTCCACTTTTTTCTCCTTCTTCTTCATTTCCTTTTCTTCTCCTTTTTCCACATCTTCTTCTTCTAAACTTTCACCTCTCTTCGGACATCATTCTTCTCCCTTTTTTTTCCAATTTCCCTTGGTATCTCGTTAATAGGTAATTGCAGTGGGAACTAGGATGAACTTCATTATCCCCATTTATCATATCAACACTTTCTCTTCTTCGCCCTTTTGGATTCTCAATTTCCAGGTGTCCTCTTCTTCTTCTTCTTCTTTTTTTCTAATTTTCACTGACCGATGTGACCCGCGCCCCTTTTATTTACTTTGAAATAGTTGTAACAGTGTCACCTTCTCAACATTACACACATATCATTTTTTGGTGAGGAACAGTGTGTCTTAATTGCCCATTGAGTCATGGAAAATGATGTTGTTTTATGTAATGTAGTGGAGCAGCGAGGAGGAAGGTACGGTAGGTAAACTAGTTTTTTGGCCAGAAAGAGAGGTTAGGAGGAAGCTAATAAGGTACTACAGATTAGGGACCTAATGTTTATTTTTTCATTTTTCAAAATTAAGGGACGGCCTGCGGGCCAAGCCAAAAACCAGCTTCTGTACGAACCGCGGCAAGCCTAACTGGTTCGGCTCGTTGCCAGTATGGGGGTTTTTGAAGCTCCAGAATCCGTGCTTTCGTTTTTTTCCAGAGATTCCTAGATTGGGTAAGCCTAAGCTTAATTAATAATCTTCAATTTTTGATCATTTGTTGCATACCATACCTACCCTAACTGGAGCCCATACTATACGCGAACTTTGAGCTCAATTATCTCGGTTTCTTGAAAATACATCAAAAAATTTGTCAACTGGTAAATTGTTTATCAAAATATCACCAATATTTTATTAGTTGATCAATTTTTGATAGCTCTCATGGGAACCGAGATAGTTAAGCTCATAGTGCAGGTATAGAGTTTTTGACTTGACTGATCCCATACGGGCTTCAGGACCCCGTGAAAATTTGCGGGAACTTTTTTATTGAAAATCCGAAAGTTCAAACTTTTCTACAGTAGCCATTTCCGCTAAACCTTCTTATAACTTTCTACCGTTTCAATACCTTGTCTTACTAACTACAGTAACCAAGAAAGAAGTCTCAAATGTTGACCATATTATTCAGAGCGAATCCGGCTAACTTCCAAATAGAGACGTTTTGCTGGGGGAGGGCGAAACGAAATATCTGATTAGGTAGCCGTTTGGTTAGCCAAAAGCGAAAACCGTTGACTTTCTCAAACATCGCCTCCTCTTTCCCCTCTCATCCCCATACACAGACAGACAAGTCAACCCAGTTGGTTGTCGAGAAATCGGTCTAAAATAGTATTGAAGATGAAGAGACGCAGATACCGAAACTAACAAGTTTCCAAACTCTCGAGAAAAGCATCGCATAGTTTTGTATATCGGCGTTCGTTTTTCACGGAAATGCGCAACCGTATCTTTATATCTCGCCGCCCAGCAAAAAAAGGAAAAAGCGAGGCGTTCATTCCATCTCTGAGTCTCCTCAATTAACATGCTCTCTAGTGTGCCTAGGATCGAAAACAGTTCATTTCCAAATCCTGTCTTTCAGGTTTACTCTTGCTGAGATTACTATGTACGGTAGAAGCGAGAGAGAGATAAACGTGTATGGTCTTTTTAGTCAATCTTTCTTCTGTGAAGAATCAAATGGTTTTGTGTTCTCCTTTCTCGGGTCTACCGTCCATACATATTACTTTCACTGGTCTAATTACTCGTTATCACTTTGATGATACCCTCCCACCAAAAACATATACACAGATATTCATTCCTTTTATTCCTTTTCCATGAATTTCTTTTTCCTTGTTTTTCCTTCTTCTTCTTCTTTTACTCATCATCATCATCATCCGTGAGAAGCTCATCCCTTCTGGACGAATTCAAAATGTGGGTGCTCCAACTCGTTTTGTACACCTCATGAGATATAGGGATAAGAGAAACAGGGAAAGAAGAACTTGCCGAAAAACACCTAAATAATTAAAACGACCGAGTTTTGTGTGGAGCCGTCGTGGGGATGAGCCGACGACATTAAATTTAATAAGTGTTGGTTGGTTGGTGAAGTTGGAGAAGAAGAAGAAGAGCAACCCTATGTGTGTGTTCTGAAATTGAGAACAGATGTGGAGGAAGAACTAGAAGAAGTGAGTTGAGTAGAAGCACATGGTGGGGGATCGGAAATCAGGATCTTGGGGGCATAGGTACCTAAAAATTCTAGTTTTAGTACTTCTAGTTTCAAGGCACTGGGTTCCAAGAGACAGATAATTTTTAGGCTTGACGAACCTTAATAATTTCAAGCGTTTTGGACAGATGGGTTGTTTAGGAAGGTAGGTCACAACTATAAAATGGTAGATCAAATATAAAACCTAGTTATTGGGTCCCCAGGTCCTTAGTTGGACACTCTGTGGGCCTTTTGAACCTTTCAAATTTAGATTCGTCCTCAAATATCCAAAATACACAAAGTTTAACTTTTAAAATCCATTTTTTTGCTTAATTTTTCAATTTTTATCTGTAATTTTGAATCTCTATACCGTAAAACCTGTAGTAGAATGGGCCCCTAGATTGAGCTCAATTATCTTAGCTCTTTCAAAAGATATCAAAAAATGTGCAACTGTTAATTTGTTAATTATATTATCACCAATATTTTACCAGTTGACAACGTTTTAATATTTTCGACCGGAAACGAGAAAAATTAGCTCAAAGTGAACAGACCTTTCGATCACGGGTTTTACGGTAGTTCTAGAGACACCCTGATTTTCATTAACCTTGTTTTACCGCATTCTCTCTTCTCCCTCTCCACTCTCTCTCCCTCTAAAATTTCGTAAACTCCTCCTCAACTCCTTAAGCTCCGCCCCCATTTCCTCCTTGCTCTTCGGGGGTATCTGATCATGTCCCAAAAGGCAGTGGGCGGAGTCTCTAGGTCCTTCCTCCTGGCAGCAGGAGGCACACATCTGTCGCGATGCGCGCCCTTCCTTTCCTCATTTCTATCTTCCTTCTCAACTACAGTAAGGTGCCTTCTCACCCTTCCATCTGATCCGATTGTGGGCGGAGCCTACGTAGCAGGTGTAGAGATGGGGAGGAGAAGAGCCACTGAGACACTCAGACTCTTCTCCAGAGGTTCATGTGCGCTTCTTCTTCTTCTGCTCATCTCTTGTTATGTGCGAGACTGCACACATTCTTCTGGAGACCTTCTTCTCTTCTCACGTCGTCTGGTCCCTTGCCTGTGGACCCCTGCGGCAAGAGGCACCGCTCCCCTCCCTAGGTGTGCATCTTCCCTTCATTTGGCACCTTTTCGTGCCTTTTTTCTTTTTTCCACCCCGTCTCCGTTTTTCTTCTTTTCTTCGGGAGGGACCCCCATTATTGGGATGCTCTCGGCTTCCGCTCTCTCATTGTGCTCCTTTAAAAAGTAAGGAGCAAAAAAACTTTCCATATCTTTCCAACTCATCAAGGTGCTCATGCTCCTTCTCTCCTTCTTTTCTCAGCGACTACCCATTGTTCATTTTTTCTGAGTGCCTTCTTTTCCTGCTTCTTCTGTCCACTCATTAGATTATTCTTCTCCGTATTTTTCAAGAGTTTCTTGAAAGATTCGAATGAAGAACATTTATTTTTCCACCCCTCCAATCTCCAGTCTTAAGGTCCGAAATATATTTTTTTATTAAAAAAAATTCCAGGTATAAACGATGGTAGATATCGCCGAAGCTCTACCATCCACACCAACATCCCTATCAATTCCATCCACCACCGACGAGGCTCTTCGGAAATTCAAGTGTCCCGAGTGCACGAAGGCGTTCAAATTCAAGCATCATCTCAAGGAACACATTCGAATTCATTCGGGCGAGAAACCATTCGAGGTAGGTGTCTTGTGCTAGTCCAAGCACCTGTTGCAACTCCCTCCTGCTCTCCCAGATAACCAATTTATCAATGTCCCCCCGCGGACATGACAAGGAGAGGCGACATATACCTGTGTGCACCTCTCGTAATGTTTTCGCCGCGGTCCCCCATCTCCACTTCTTGTCATGTCTTGTTAATGATGATAGAGGGACAAGAAACAATGAAGCCATTTGTTGGGAGGGCCTAGGTAAACTTTCGAAAAAATCCTAGGTGTGAAAAGGGAAGAAAACGTATAGATGCCCGTAAGGCATTCATTAATTCCTCTCCTTCTTGTTGAAAAAGGAGCGGGAGAGGGAGGAAAGAAGAAAGAAGAGTAAAGTTTTGAGTGAGCAGGAGGAGCCACTTTCAAGGTGCTCGGAGGTGTGGATGAGTACGTAAAAGAAAAATTTCGAGAAGCTAAAGTAGCCAGAGAAAAAGGAAAGAACCCAAATAGTGTTATCTACCTTGGAAGTCGTTGACTTTCAAAATGGAGCTTGAAGATTACCAATTTATTTACTTCTTGAGTTAAGGTGCCAAAAATCTAGAAAAAAACGTTTCAAAAAAAATATCCCAAACTTTTCAAGTTTGATTTGTATAAACTCAAACTCGTCCCCTTTTCCTGATACCCTAAACGCGCCCTTATATTAGAGGTTTTACGGCAACCCGGGCTTTCCAAAATGCTTTTCAATATAGTATTATCGACACCATCTACCTTATATGGCTCATCGACAACCTCTCACCTCCTCCTATTGGTCGCTGCGGGCTCACCTGGGCTCCGCCCCCTCGTTTCCGGCTCACCTGCTCCCTTTGCCCTCCCCTCCCACTTAGCCCCCATTGGCTCCCATCTATATTAGGACTCTCCTCTCCTAAAAAATGCACCTTTGGGTGCAATAAACAAGCCAGCCTTGGGCCCTAGTACGTGATCCACTGTTTTGAGATTTATCGGTCCCAGTGGGCCCGTACCTTCTAAAGCGGCCCACCCGACACACCGCCCGTGTGATAAATTGTTCCTTTTTATTTTCTTTGGCTTCCTTCAAAAACCTTTTAATCTTTCGAATTTTTACAGTGCCAACAGTGTCATAAACGATTCTCGCATTCCGGATCGTACTCCTCGCATATGAGCAGTAAGAAGTGTGTACAAACGGCATCGCCATCAATGGTCACTCCCTTCAATCCATATCAACTGATGATGTATCGAAATCTTATGCTTCAATTGCAAACTCCTCAAGTGTCTTTCCTGCCTCAAGCCAATAATATGGAAAATGCTTATATGAGTCTCCTCCAGGCGAATATTCTTCAGAATTTGGAAAACGGAGGCTCCCCAACCGCCACTTCTCCACCATCTTCTGTACAAGAACCATCAACCCCTGAGCCAAAAGTCGAGGTGGTCGATGAGCCGGAAGAGGGGTCCACAACGGCAGAAAAGACTCCAGAAGAAGCAGAAGTTGTTGTGAAATCAGAAGAGGTATCGGTCTCAGAAGAATCCGTAACTCCTGCTGTTTCGGTATCGGTATCAGTGTCAGTGTCACCAACACTGGAACAAAATGGGAATGACCTGATTGTAAATGGATCAGACGGAAAAGCATCCCCAGATTGGAGGCCATTGAGATCCAGAAGCTTCTTGAATGACTCTCAGGTACTTGTTAGCTTATTCAGAAGATCCTATCCAATTTTTATATAATTTCAGGTAGCCATTCTTCAAAACCATTTCAAGCGTAATCCCTTCCCATCAAAGTACGAGCTGTCCGCTGTAGCCGAACAAATCGGAGTGAATAAGCGAGTTGTTCAGGTGAGGAGGAGCATTTTTTTTTGGGAGCACAACTTTATGACAAAAAGATTTATCGGAAACAAAAGATTTTCCCACAAGGTGGAAGAAATAGGGGAACACATGTGCTCTTCTTCAAGTAGCTCATCTGTGTGTACATACATCACATCTTTTTCAGAAGAAGAGGACGCAGGTGCTTCGGGGTGTCGTTACATTCGTCATTTTACCGCAATTCCAATACATCCACCCCATTCAACAAAGACAGAAAATATTGCAGGTCTGGTTCCAAAACACCCGAGCCAAGGAACGACGCAGCAATCGTCTGCCGAGCATGCCACGTGGGTCGTCTGCCATGGCGCCAACCTCACCTACAGTATGGCAAACGCCAGCACAGCTCATGGCCGTCTGGGCTCAACAGTGCCTTCAGAATGGGAACAATAGCCTGAGCAGCAATTCTCAGGTTAGTGGGGAGAATAGAACCACCGGGTGGTCATGACACATGTTTTCGCGCATTAAATGACACAATTAGATTATAATGGATTAGGAGAGGCCATAACCGGTTATTATGAAGAAGAATAGGTGACAGACGGGTCAGGTAGTTTCGCGTGGTCCCAAACTTGACTTAATTACCCCCTCTTTGTTTTGGTAGTTTTTGGGGATAGGCTGGCTCTCCTGTCAGTTCCAGGTGAGCCATAAATCATGTTGGTTGAAGCAGCCAGGAGGCATCTCTGGGCTTCCCCTCACTTTCGAAATATCAATTCATCAATTTCACGTCCTTTGGATAGCCAGGATGACTGGGTTGTAAATGAAGAGCCCCCTCCTATCGAATTTGCCTAATTCGACACCTGCTCGCTTTTTATGAATATTTATGGGGGGAGGTAGAACAGTACCATATAGCTTCCGGGCCCTAGTAGATTCCCGTTTTTAGATTTTAAGGGCTCACACCTTCCTTGAAACGCGAAGCCCAAACAAGCCACATGTGATACTTTTGGGGATGATCCAATTAGGAGAAGGAGACGAGGGGCACCTCTAAAACACGACGACACGGGGGAAAATGAGCAGAGGAGAATGAGAATGAAGCAGGCAGGCAGGCGAAGATATTGTCGAATATGAATAGGAGAGGAGCATCTGTCGACGCTCATAAAAGACGATGGGTTCTTCTTCGGGTTATTCTACGACTATAATAGGATGATACTAAATGAGAAATGGCTTGTTGCCACCTGAGCACCCCCATCTCAAGATGTTGCTCCGATATATAGATTGGTTTTCTGAGATAAGACATAAGAAGATAATATGGAAAAGGAGAAGCTAGGAGTATGATAGAAAATGAGGTTTAGAATCGGAAATTACACTTTGATGTATTACTGTAGGATACTGTACCTGGCAAAAGTTTATGTTGTGTAAATCTAATTACCATATTTCCTCTGATAAAAGGCGACCCAAACCGTCAACTACGAGATAAATCATCTCAGTTCCAATAAGAGATATCTGAAATTTGTAAACTGAAAAAATATTAGCGATATCATGATAAACAATTTATCAGTTAACAAATTTCTTATATCTTTTACAGTAAGCGAGATAAATTAGTTAAAAGTTAGGGGCCCTTCTAGTACATGTTATAGGGTAAGTGTAGCATACTGTACCAGACAACAGCTCATGTTTTGTAGCTTTCATAAATTTTTCAGATTTTGATTAGCCTGGAAGTTTCTGAAATTCCGAAATTCTGAAAATAGTCTGAAATTCGGCTGTAACACTTTTTCAAGCAAATTTATCCATCTCTCCTAGAAAAAAGCGACAGCTAGAAGTCAAAAATATCTGAAAGTCAAAATTTCAGCTAATTGCTTTTTAGACCGAAATTCAGATTTTTGATGTATCCTCTAGACTCTATCACTTTTTAAATCACTTCAGTCTGGCTCCTGTTTTATAAACTTCAAAAATACAAGGACCGGTCCGGACCAGGCCGGGCCCTGATTTTTCTAGTAAACATTAAAGTGCACCTACCCTTCCCTAAATTTCATAACTGGCTGCTCCCTTCTCTGTTTTTTTTTCTCTTCCAATCCTCCTCATCAATTTATTCCTGCCTGACACATACACATACATCTACCCAATATTGGGGTCGCTTCTGGCAGTCTAGAAGTATCCGTGTGAAAAGATGGGACGCGGACGAAATGGGAAGAAGAAGAAGACACAAGGCTCGCCTCGTTCAATTTCCCCTTTGTCTTGCATAATTTGTGTCATTCAATTTACCTTCTCCTTTCCTGACCAACACTATGGGACGCGCCGGTCGTCCACCGCTCTCACACTCTCGTTTTCCCACTCAAAGGGCTTTCGGTGAAAAGAAATGAGGATCAGAGAAAATAGAGAGAGAGGGACCCATCAATGGAAATGAAATGAATTCGAGTGTTTTTGGTGGACGGCACAAGAAGCACAAGAAGAAGCAGTAGTAGAGGCAGCACCTGCTAATGAGCTTCTTTGTCCTTTTCTTCTTCTTCTTTCCCGTCTTTTTTTTTACTTTTTCAATATAGGGGGATTGACTTCTTCTTTCAAATCAACCCTTAATCCATCACATTTCAGGACGAATCATCCGTACTACGCAACAACGAGAATAGGGTAGCTGACGAGGAGGTGATGGATCACGATGGTCTTCTCGGTTCAAAAGATGGCAAAGAGACACCTCTGGATTTGACACTTTCCACGGAGGATACAGAACCTGAATGGTCTCCAGAGAAGCTTATTGGATTTCTCGATCAGACTGGTGGAGTGATCCAGGAGTTGTTGAGGCAGGCTGGAAATGGATTCGTGACGAATCAAGAGGAAGAGGAGGAGAAGCCAGTGAAAGCAGAGGAAAGTCCAGTATCGAGCACTTCTTCATCGATTTGGCCATCGTTTATTGGACAGTATCCATCGATCCTGGATTCTGCAAGTCTTTCAGCGTTGGAGAAAGCATTAGATGTAAGTTTTAGAATTTTTCAGTAAGGCTGTGCCACGGCCGGACGTGGCCAGCCGCAATTTACACAGTCTTGGTTTCTAGAGCCATAAAGCTAATTTGATATTCAATGTTCTTCTTTCAGCAACAAAAATCCTCCGAAGACGACGCTTCCTCCCTATGCTCCAACGAATCGAAGCTTCTGAAATTCTCCTCGACACCGCTGAAAGAGGAAGAAGGCTTGTTCTCGTGCGACCAGTGCGACAAGGTGTTCGGAAAGCAAAGTTCGCTGGCTCGACACAAATATGAGCATTCTGGTGAGTACAAAACGAAAATTAGAGGGTATTAAAGCGGGGGTGACAATAAGAGAGACACCCGTGTGTTTGGATACTTGGTGATGCAATCGTATTAATTGAAGGATGGGACATTTGGAAGGAGACTAATCTAATTGAGGAAATAGACACAGGGGGACAGCTGTATGTATCTTTGAGATCATTGCTTTTTGAAACACAGGAGGATGGGGTGGGTGGGAGGATAATTAAGGATTATTACCTAGTAGGATAAACAGATTTACAGACAGACGTGTCGTTTTTGAAGGTGGGGGACATAAAAAAGTTTTCTCAAATTTTTGTTCCTCTAGTAGTTGAACCAGTTTGGGGCGCCCCGCCACTACCGACTGAGCCAAGCGGTCGAACCTTGAAGGGCGCCCGATAGCATACAACTTTGAGCGCATATATCTCATTTTCTGTAAAAGATATCAAAAAGTTGTCAACTGAGAAAATGTTTATCATAATATCAAAAACATTTTGTTAGTTAACAACTTTTCGATATCTCTCACAAGAATCGATATAAATTGGCTCAAAGTGGACAATTAGGCTACGCTTTTACGGTATTTTAGATTGGACGATTAGCATAAAAACCTTCATAGTTTGATTTTTTTTTAATTTCAAACTTTTCCATTCTTCCAGGCCAACGCCCGTACAAATGCGACATCTGTGAAAAGGCGTTCAAGCACAAGCACCATCTCACCGAGCACAAACGTCTACACTCTGGCGAGAAACCATTCCAATGTGACAAGTGTCTCAAACGATTCTCCCATTCCGGAAGCTACAGTCAGCACATGAACCACCGATACTCGTACTGCAAACCGTACAGGGAGCAACCGGGAGCCACGTCACCAAAATCTGACGTTCTCAATGGAAGTCTGACTGTTAGCCCATCCTCTTCGAACACGCCACCCCCAAATTGATCTCATATTTTTTAAAGCATTCCTTTTAAAGCATTCCCCTTTTCTATTCGGTTATTAGTTCTTTTAAAATCCTGGCTGTGCCAGTTTCTTGCCTTATATAGCAGCTTCACTTTTGGTGCTTTTTTGATATGTACAGTTTTTGAAAAATATAGTCATGTTTTCATAATTCGTGATTTCTCCTTCGCTTCGCTTCTCCCTACTTCACTTATCCTTTGGCCGGTGCATGTGCTCTTCGCTTTTCTTATAATCCCAGTTATTCATTTCTGTGAAGTGACCCAATACCTAGTCAAAAACAACACAAAAACTCTAAAATGGTGCAATTAGTTTTCTCTTCTCATTTTCTCTCACCTGTCCATCGTTTTTCATTTTTTGGGACCAACAACCACTAACTGATTCGTGTAACCCTGTTTTTCTTTTTTTTTTGCAATTCAAAATCGTTTTCTAGACTTTTTGCCTAATAAATTGTTCTTCTAATAATGATAGTGAACAAACAGACACACAGAGAGACAATTTTTATCGAATTAGACATCGGTGTGAAGACAGAAGGTGTCTCATGAGCATATGGTCTAGTGATTGATGTCGGCATTTTGTTCAGGCCCAGATATGGTCAAATGAGCCAAAGAAGAAGAAAAAGAAGAAGAAGAAGACGATTACATTCTTCACGGTTCATTTGAGAGACCCCAGTATAGATTCGATGAAAGAGATACTACCCGTTTTGGAAAATATTTCTGGGGACCAAGTTTTCTAGAGACGGGTATTTTCCTCGGGTCCTGAATCCACTATGGTCCATGTTAGGATTTGGCAAAGATGGGTTAGTTTTTCTGAAAATCAAGAAGTTTAGCTCGAAATCAAGAAATTCATTGGAAACGTACTGTCTATCAGAAGAAGAAATTTCGAATGGGCCACAATGAATTTGACGATGAAGTAGACAACTGAAAAATCTGGGGAACTTAAAAATCCTCGAAATATCGGAACTTCGCTTTGGAAAGCCTAGATCTTTGCATTATCGAATTTCCGAAATTCAGAATCTCCAAGTTTGAAATATCCATTACCCAATTTTCGAAACAGTCATAAAAACTTTAAATTCAAAAAAGATTTAATTTTCAGAATCCCAATTACCAATTGTTTCCACGGTAATTCATGTCCCAATTTTGACTCGCTATCTAATTTATTATCACCTACTCTTTCCCCCGACAAGGTCATATACAGTGTATTCATATATTTCATTCCAAATCGCACTCACCAACACCTGTCAAAAACATGCCAAATCCAATGATGGATGAAATGAGATCTTGTTGAATTGGAATCACCAATAATGCTATCATAATGACAAGATTCAAAATCGGCCAAAATATACTGTACTGCACAGGATCCACTGCGATCGGCATCTTTTTCCATTTTATCATCACTAAAACTGCAAGAGGGAAAATTGTGGTAAGCATTCCGGTTACTGTAAGATAGTCAACGAGTTGGTCAATGTCTCCGAGAAAAGAGAAAATGATAGATGTGAATGTCTGAAATTTTCAATTGTCACAGGGAATTTCAAAAATCATCGCCTCACATGAAAAAAGACAGAAACCCTTGGACTGTCATTGTCAACATGTATCAAACTGAAGCAGGTGGGCATCATTTTGCGACGTGAACCGGCGACCATGTACCTGCAAAAACTGGGTCACGAACCTTTTTCCGAATAATTTCAATTGTAAATGAAACCCATAGGGACTAATATCCCAACAATTTGAAAGTTAGGGCACTCACCTTGTCCAACCAAAAATATCGCCATTCAAAGTTCCAATCAGTAATAAGCCAACCACAGCGGGTACTGCAAATGCTGGACCATTTCCAACTGTTTTTTGAATAAATGTCTGAAAAAGTATTACGGTAGTTGGCAGAAGGATTACGGCAGCTGGAGGAAACCCCTTACAGTAGCCACCGCAGAAGAATTAATTATTTCTTGAGGTGTCAATATTGCAAAATATGAAACATTGACGAGTACATAAACCACTGCAGAAATACAAAGACCACCAAGGCAGGCACGTGGAAGAGTTCTGAACTAATTTCAATTTTTCTGTGTGTCCGGATGTCCACTTACTTTCTAAAATCCTTAATCTGAATTTCTTCGGATCCATAGTTGAGTGTTGTAAATCCTCCAAACGCCCAATTCCCTTGATAAATTGCCAAAACAATTGCCCCTGGATTCCAATTACTGTTTTTCATTATCTCGGAACTACTGTAATGTGACGTTGCACCACGAAAGACGATGAAGAAGAATCCGATGCCTATGATAATCGCTGTTGCAAAAATCTTGGAGCACATTGATATAATTTGCACTCGAGATGCGAATTTTTGAAGTGAGAACATGTTGGCCAGTGTAAGAAATACTGATAAGAAAATAATTTTAATGATGACAACTTTATCAAAATCTTACATAGTAATCCGAAACCAAAAAGTTTCGAGACATTATCAGCAGTGTCATTCGAAAAACAATAAATAGGATCTAGGGCTTGAACCAAATATTTTCCAAAAGTCAGATATAAAACTGCAGCTGATGAAGAGCTCTCAATGAGTAGAGATACCCAGAGGAGCGAAAACGCAACGGGCGTCCAACCCATATAATCAATGTAAGCTAAATCGGCTCCAGATTCTGGGATACTTGTGCCAAGTTCGATGAAATTCTAAAAAAAATCGCAGACATTTGAATAAACAGGCATTTTTGAGAAAAGAATCTGACCAAGATTCAACTTTCATTCTTTGTTAGCCCCACCTAGAAATACTTAAAATTTCAAGTTTAACGAAATTTCGTCTGGTTCACGCTTAAGCCCCCGAAAATTATTTTGAAGCTAAAAACTGTTTGAAAAACCCAAAAACACTCATTGTCAGTTCGATTGCGTTCACAATATTTCAAACAAAATTAGGAGAAAATTACCCTTATTTAATTTGCTTCAATCTTTCTCAAATTGCTTTTTGAGTATTTAATTATTTTGGCTTCAAAATGAGCCCGAACATTCTTACTGTTAGAAAGTTTTGAATTATAAAATTCCTATTTTTCAGTGGACCCACTTAAAAAATAAAAACTATCCAACTCCATTTATCCTAGTTATGTTTATATTTATCTCGAAGCGAAAATAGGGACAAATTCAAAAACGAAATAATATTTGAGCTTAGGTCTGAAATAGCCTACAGATGTACTGTAGTTTTACAGTTCGATGCGAATTTTTTTTTGAGTTTTTGATATAACTTAATTTTGTTCCAATCTTTTTCAAATCAAATGTTTTGAATGTCTCATATTTTCACCTTTGAAATAAGCCATTTTCAGGCGGAAACAAAATTTGGGAAATCTCAGATATACTCAGAGGCTTCCAGGATAAAAATTTAAAACTCACGATAGCTGTAATCATGTTTAACAGAGCACAAACCACCCATATAATCAATGATAAACCGACGGATCCAGCATGTTGCACAATTCCCTGAAAATAAGGTTTTTGGTGGCCTAGAAATTCCAAAGTTCCACTTTTGGCGCAATGAATATTCCACTTCCGATAATTGAGCCAACAATATACGCCGTTGCTCCGATCAACCCAATTTTGTTATTCTCTTTTTTCGTCATTGTTTGTGTATGCGTTTTCCTTGTTTTTGCTATCTGAAAATTTATAGACCATCACACGAAACAAATGTTAATCGAGTCAAAAGGAAAACAAAAACTTCATTTTCTTGATTGAGAGGAAAAGAAGAAGAGGAGAAACATTACAGTTTCAAGAAAGGTTAATTAAAGGGATTTCTGATTTCCTACAGTAATTGGAAACTTTATGAAGAATTCAGGAAAAGAAACAATTTGTGCAAAATTATAAAAATTTGAATTTTGAGATCTGGTATAAAAGGGTGTGTAACTCAGTACGAGAGAAGATATTTTGCTGAAAATTTAAAAATGGGCTTCCAGAAAAGATGAGAGAAAAAAAATCTATTTTGAAAATCAGGTTGTGGTGCCTATGCTCCTTTTCTAGTCCTTATCAGCTCCTTTTATCCTACTACTAATTTTCATTATTTTCCTTTCACTCTCTGCGTCTCATATCCATCGAAAAGTGTCGAATTGCTTCGGGGTGTGCCACTGTCGTGGGCCTTATCAACAAATGATTTTTCGATAAACGCCCTTAAATTCACCGACTAATTTATGACAGGAAATGTGACTTGAGAAAAGTTCAAAATTTTCAGAATTGATTAATTGGAAAATGTAAATCTAAAGAAGGTCTGCAAACTGATAGAATCATAATAATTGAAGAAAATAATTTCTGCACTAAGAAAATGCACGACTGAAATTTGAAAAACTGAGAACCTGTTAGAATGGGCAATTAGTTGTTTCTCTCATTCTCTCCCATTGCTTTGTTGCTCATTTTTTGGGTCCAAGAACCACTTACTACTCCATATATTATCTTTTTTTTTGCAATTCAAAATCGTTTTCTCTACTACTCACTATTTGCCTAATAAATTGTTTTTCTAATAATGACAATGGACAAACAGACACACAGAGAGACAATTTTTATTGAATTAGACATCGGTGTGAAGACAGAAGGTGTCTCATGAGCATGTGTTCTAGTGATTGATGTCGGCATTTTGTTCACTTCCATTAATGATCAAATGAGCCAAAAAGAAGACGACGATTCCATTTTTTACGGTTTGTTTGGGGGACCCCAGGATAGGTTTTGTTGAAAAAGATACCCGTTTTGAAAATATTAAGGTGACCAAGTTTTCTAGAGACGAGTCTTCTCCTCGGGTCCTGAATCCACTATGGTCCATGTTAGGATTTGGCAAAGATGGGTTAGTTTTTCTAAAAACAAAACGTTTAGCAAGGTGATAAACCGGTGTGTAGTAGCAAACGCACTGTCTATCAGAAGAAGGAATTTTGAATGGGTCACAATGAATTTGACGATGAAGTAGACAACTGAAAATTGCATTTGTTAAAACATTAAATTCAAAAAACTTGAATTTCAGAATCTCAATTACCAATTGTTTCCACGGTAATTCATATCCCAATTTTGACTCTCTATCTAATTTATTATCACCTACTCTTCCCCCCGACAAGGTCATATACAGTGCATTCATTTATTTTATTTTAAATCACACTTACCAATACCTGCCAAAAACATGCCAAATCCAATGATGGATGAAATGGCATCCTGTTCAATTGGAATCACCAATAATGCTATCATAATGACAAGATTTAAAATTGGCCAAAATATACTGTACTGCACAGGATCCGCTGCAATCGGCATCCTTTTCCATTTTATTATCACTAAAACTGCCAGAGCAAAAATTGTGGTAAGCATTCCGGTTACTGTAAGATAGTCAACCAGCTGGTCAGTGTCTCCGAGAAAAGCGAAGATGATAGAAGTGAGTGTCTGGAAATTTTTAAATTATCTGTCATACGGTTTTCGCGGGCTTAGAATTCTTGGATGACCTAAAAATCCGTGGTTGGCCAAGCTAGCTCCATTCCCTAGCTCCATTTCCCAGTCCACAAAGCAAATTTTAAAAATCATCGCCTCACATGAAAAAAGACAGAAATCCTTGGACTGTCATTGTCAACATGTATCAAACTGAAGCAGGTGGGCATCATTTTGCGACGTGAACCGGCGACCATGTACCTGCAAAAACTGGGTCAATTGCAAATACGAAGTGCCTTTCCTGAGATTCTAGCAAGGAAGTGTTTTCAGACACCGGTTGATCATTCTTATATAAATGAATGAAGTTGCTTCTCTTTCTCGATTTGTCCGAACACGTTCAAAAATTTGAAATAAAATATGTTTACGTGACCCTTTGAGTAAGACAGAGGAGCGAAGCGACGAACAGTAAAAGATATGGATTAAATCGCGCCGAAGGCGCACCAGCCAACTGTTTGAAGCGCCGGAGGTGCGGCAAACAGGCTGGTAAGTTAAAAATTTGTAGGCATGGTGCCATTTTTGTTCATTTTTCAAAGAACTATGATCTATTGAAGTTTCGAAAGAAATCACCTATTTGTGATTTAGAGGAATATAGGCTATCAAATCTTGTGAAAAGACTCATTTTATAGTTTAAAGGTGGGGGGACATGAAAAAATACTGTTCTCGAAATTCCGTTCAAAGATGCCCCTCGAGGAGTTGAACTTGTGAGGGCGATGATTGAGGGTGCGGCGCCGCTACCGACTGAACCACGCGAGCAAAGAGAAAGCGCACGCCCGATTTCATACATAAAGGCGAGGACGACAGCTGTACGCAGAGTGACATTAAGTGTTGTACACCGTGAAGGTAGAATGCATACTCTAGCTACAAAAAAACTACGAAAAATCTCCTGTCCCCCCACCTTTAACAAACTTTAGAAGTCATGTTAGCACTTTTGAAAAGTTTTCGAAATTATAAAAAAATGCCACGGGGCGCCTTTTTTTTGGCACTCCTGGCGACTTTTTTCTCAGAATGTAAAGGAATCAAAAATACAGACTAGGGTTTCCATTTGGGAGAGATTCACCCGCCCGCACCCGGCCGGGGGACTCACCCCCCGCGGCCCCCCGTTGCCCCACACACGCAAATAATCGCGGGGGGCCGCGGGGGCCGCGGGTGCTAGCCCCCCGGCGGGTGGCGGGCGGCTCTTTTTTTTACCCGCGCAAATGGAAACCCTAATGCAGACTACATTCGATAATTTTCAAAAAAAAACTCTTATCGGCCGTTTCAAACATTGACTCCATAAGTGACAAATTAGTACTGAAATCACTTCCAGAGCTCATAGCCTTTTTCACGGGGCGTTGGTGGAAAAACTGACTTCAGTTCTGTAATCAGCGTGTCTAAAAGTACCAATGACTAAACTTTGAGAAAATTCTCTACCGGTGTCTGGAAACGTTTCCCTTGTAACGGGACTGTTATCCCAAAAATTCAAAAGTTAGGCCACACTCACCTACTCCAACTGAAAACATCGCCATTTAAAGTTCCAATTAGTAGCAATCCAACCACAGCGGGTACTGCAAATGCTGGACCATTTCCAACAGTTTTTTGAATAAATGTCTGAAAAAGGATTACGGTAGTTGGAAGAAGGATTACGGCAGCTGGAGGAAACCCCTTACAGTAGCCACCGCAGAAGAATCAATTATTTCTTGAGGTGTCAATATTGCAAAATATGAAACGTTGACGAGAACATAAATCACTGCAGAAATACAAAGACCTCCCAAGCAGGCACGTGTTAGAGTTCTAAACTTATTCAGGTTTTTTTGGTGTGTCCGGATGTCCACCCACTTTCTAAAATCTTTAATCTGAATCTCTTCGGATCCATAGTTGAGCGTCGTAAATCCTCCAAACGCCCAATTCCCTTGATAAATCGCCAAAACAATTGCCCCTGGCTTCCAATTACTGTTTTTCATTATTTCCGAACTACTGTAATGTGACGTTGCACCACGAAAGACGATGAAGAAGAATCCGATGCCTATGATAATCGCTGTTGCGAAAATCTTGGAGCACATTGATATAATTTGCACTCGAGATGCGAATTTTTGAAGTGAGAACATGTTGGTCAGTGTGAGAAACACTGATAAGAAAGTGATTTAATTACGGGCGAGGGGACAGGAAATGATGGCTTACGCAACTTTAAAAACTTACAGAGTAATCCGAAACCGAAAAGTTTTGCTACACTATCAGCAGTGGCATCCGAAAAACAATAAATAGGATCCAAGGCTTGGACCAAATATTTTCCAAACGTTAGATATAAAACTGCAGCTGATGATGAACTTTGAATGAGTAGAGATAGCCAGAGAAGGGAAAATGCAATGGGCGTCCAGCCCATATAATCAATGTAAGCTAAATCGGCTCCAGATTCTGGGATGCTTGTGCCAAGTTCGATGTAGTTCTGAAAGAAACGGACGTTGGGACTAGGGTTTCCATTTGGGGGGCGATTCACCCGCCCGCACCCACCCGGGGGGCTCACCCCCCGCGGCCCCCCGTCGACCCCCCGCGAATATTTACGTGAGGAAAATATTCTTTTTTGTAGTTTTTTGATTTCAGAAACTCAGTTTTTCTTGGAAAATACGTGATTATCCTTTAAAATTTTATTAAAATTCACACGCATTTAATTGCGGGGGGCCGCGGGTGGGAGCCCCCGGGTGGGTAGCGGGTAGCCCGCTTCTTCACCCGCCCAAATGGAAACCCTAGTTGGGACAAACAGACGTTTTTGAGAAGAGACTTTCATCATGTTTTATATACGTTTTCTACCTCGCTCTTCACTCGTGTCCTCGGTAGTATAGTGGTGAGTATCCGCGTCTGTCACATGCGAGACCCGGGTTCAATTCCCGGCCGGGGAGAATTTTTTAAAAATTTTGTTAATGACTAAAAATGGAAAATATGTTTTTTCGCTCAAGACAAATCAAATTTTTTGTCATGTGCTTTTTTTGAATTTTCAAAAAATTGAAATTCTTGGAAATTCCAGAGTTTCAGAAAGTCTGTATTTTTGAGATGTTTTGTATTTATTTTATTCTTGGATTCTCTTGGTCTTTCAAAAAATTGTTGAATTTTCGATGTCTCTATGAAGTTTTTATTTTTTGAATTTTTGTTTTTTGAATTTTTTGATTAGAAAATTAAGAATTTCGAAAATTTTGAAACAGTAATTTTTCAGAAGTTGTAATATTTATTTTCAAGGTTAAAGCAGTTAAAACTCACAATAGCTGTGATCATGTTCAAAAGTGCACAAAACACCCAAATAATCAATGATAATCCGACGGATCCAGCATGTTGCACAATTCCCTGAAAATAAGGTTTTCGGTGGCCTAGAAATTCCAAAGTTCCACTTTTGGCGCAATGAATATTCCACTTCCAATAATTGAGCCAACAATATACGCCGTTGCTCCGATCAATCCAATTTTATTATCCTCTTTTTTGGCCATTTCCTCTCCTTTTTTAAATTTTTTTCTTTCTATCTGAAAATCTATAAATTATCACATGAAACAAATTCCAATCAACACAGTTCAGAACCATTTCTTCCCTTCTCTCTCGGGTCAAAATGAAAACAAATACGTCATTTTTGTGGGTGGGAGGAAAAAGAAGAAGAAGATGAAAAATAATGGGGTCAAGAGGAGAGAAAAATTACAGTTTCAAGAAATGCTAATTAGGGTGATTTCTGATTTTTTACAATAATTGGAAACTTTATAAAATGAGTTCAGCGAAATAAAAAATTCAAAAATAATATTCTCTAGTTGCTGTCCAAAAAGTAGCCTGCTTCTTTTGTTTTTATGCTCCTCTGCTGGCTCCTTATCAGCTCCTTTTCTCCAACTAATTTGGATTATTTTCCTCTCGCTCTCTGCGTCTCTTCATTCTCATTTCCATCGGAATGGTGTCGAATTGTGTCGGTGTGTGACAGGAAATGATTATTGGGACAAGTTCAATTTATTGAAATGGGTTAATCTGGAAAATGTGAATCTGAAGAAGGCCTACAAAAAAAATCGGGATGATTGTAAAAGCGGCAGCATGAAAAAACTGAAACTAAAAAAACCTGTATTAGAAGGGCCTGTTAACTTTAAGCCAATTTATCTCGTTTTCTGTAAAAGATATGAAAAATCGGTCAACTGATAAAATATTGGTGATATTATGATGAACAATTTAATAATTGACATTTTTTGACACCTTTTGAAGGAACGGAGATAATTGAGCTCAAACTGATCCTCAAAGGGGAAGTTTAAGATGAGCTCCTATTAGAGAAGATACGGTATCCCACCAAAATTTGAATTTAATGAAATATAATACAAAAGAACTGAATTGGTAATGCACTCTGTAAAAATTTAGTATCTGATATTCTGAATTTCTGAATTTCTGAATTTCTGAATTTCTGAATTTCTGAATTTCTGAATTTCTGAATTTCTGAATTTCTGAATTTCTGAATTTTTGAATTTCTGAATTTCTGAATTTCTGAATTTCTGAATTTCTGAATTTCTAAATTTCTGAATTTCTGAATTTCTGAATTTCTGAATTTCTGAATTTCTGAATTTCTGAATTTCTGAATTTCTGAATTTCTGAATTTCTGAATTTCTGAATTTCTGAATTTCTGAATTTCTGAATTTCTGAATTTCTGAATTTCTGAATTTCTGAATTTCTGAATTTCTGAATTTCTGAATTTCTGAATTTCTGAATTTCTGAATTTCTGAATTTCTGAATTTCTGAATTTCTGAATTTCTGAATTTCTGAATTTCAAATTTCAACAAAGTTCAGACAGTTTCTCTCTACATACTTGTTGTTTATTTTCTTCCATTCTCTATTCCTAAACTGTCTAGATATGTCTGCGTCTCAGATGACGTCGTCTCTCCATCTTCTCTCCTCCGTCACAGATGGTTCTCGAATTCGTCTTCATTTTCGAAGGTTGGTTTTCTTCTTCTTCTCCCTTTTCCGATGGCGCCATCCATTTCCCTTCTCAATCATTTCTCTAGCCTACACGTGTACCTGGATCAAAAGCTTCTTCTTGTTCTTCTTCCTGTCAATATATGAAATCCGAAATATTTCTTCTCTCGCACTCTCCTCATATCCCATACCATTTCCTCTTCCGAAACAGACGATCCGCAATGCCCTCGTCCGTCCGCTTTTATCTTCAACGGGAATCATCTCCTCGTTTTCCAATACCCCCATCCGATTCCGTCCGAATTTTCTCCCCATTCTTTTCTCCTATATTCTGTATATTTTTGTGTGAGGTGTGTGTGTGTTCTGGCAGAGATTCAACACAATCTGAAGTTCCCTTCTAAAAATGCCGTTTTCGATTTGCGCCTTGGTAAGTTAACCGGTAGTTGGGGGTGGCCAGTAGACCACTCCTTTACAATGCGTGACCTACTTTTCACTTTCATCCCCTCCTCTTGTCTTCTTCTTTTTTGTCTTCCCCATAGAACAACCGACTAGCCCTCCCCCAAGGAGAAGAATGGAAAGTTCCTGAATATTTGAAAATCAAAAAATTGTGTAATGGTTTCCATCATACACCTTTTTCCGTCCTCCTGTCCATTTATCTGTCATCTGTTTGGGGGAAAGAAACTAAACAAGTTTTTGGCATCTAGACAGAGAGAAGAAGAACACCACAAAAAAGCTTAAACTATCGAAAGGTCTTCTTCTTTTCCTCTTTTCTTCTCTCAATTCTCTTCGATTCGACAGTTTTCCTCGTCTTCTTCATATTCTCATGTTTTGTATTCGTATTGTATATGTGGTGTAGTCTCTCCTGATATTTAGTGGTTACAGTTCTTCCATATTTTTTTAAATTATGCTCTGGACGTTAAGGTTTTTTTTTAATTCACTAGCAGAATTTCCAGAATTTTCTAGACATATTTTACTGAAAGACCCCCAAAAGAGCTTTTAGTCTCTGAAAGCATGGAAATGTGTTTCCTCTTTGAGCTCAATTATCTCGGTTCCTGTAACAGCTATCAAAAAGTGATTAACTGATAAACTGTTTATCATAATATCATCAATATTTTATCAATTGACAAATTTTTAATATCTCTCATGGGAACCGAGATAATTGAGCTCAAAGTTTTGATAAACCATATTTCCTCCAATAGAAGACTACTCAAATCAATAACTTTGAGCTCAATTAACTCGGTTCCTGTAAGAGATATTAAAAAACGTTCAACTGACAAATTGTTTATCATAATATCATCAATGTTTTAATAGTTTACAAATTTTTGATATCTCTTATAGGAACCCAGATAATTGAGGTCTAATATGACGGTTTGGATGGGCTTCTATCAGAAGAATTATAGTACTGAAGAACCACCAGCTTTTAGTATCTGAAAGTGTGATATATTGAAAATTCCGAAATTTATTTATGAAAATTCAAGAAAGCCGTATTTCATTTTCAAACAAAATTTATTTGTCTAGCTTCCAAAAAATGTTTCCTTGAGATTTTTCTATTTCCAAAACTAACGCTACTTTTTTTTGTAGCCTAGAAATACAAATGCTGCTCCTACTCTTCCATTTTTTTTCTGTAAAAATAAGGTCATTCTAATCTTTTTAATAAAGCAGGCAAAAATTCTGAGAAAAATTGGTTTCTTACCATACTCGTTCTGATAGAAGTCCACACTATACGTTCCTTCCAGTTTAATTATTTCGGCTTCTGTAAAAGATATCAATAAGTGGTCAACTGATAAAATATTGGTGATAACATGATAAATAGTTCATCAGTTGTCAGGTTTTTGATATCTCTCAAAGCTCAAAGAAACCGAGATAATTAACCCCAAAGTGCAGGTACATGGTGGGCTGCTATTAAAGCAAATACGGTAGGCACTTCTCTATCAACCCCAATCATCTCGGTTCCTGTAAGAGATATCTAAACTCATAGGCTATGAGAGTTATGAAAATCTGCCAACTGATGAATTATTTCTCATAATATCAGCAATATTTTATCAGTTGACAGATTTATGATACTTTGCATAGGAGCCAAGATAATTCAGCTCAAAAGTTTGAGTGGGCGGCTATTAGAGCAAATACGGTAAAATGATTCGAAGTTTCAATACAGAAATTGGCTGGATCTAGAACATTCCAAGGAACATTTTCTTTATCTGATCTAAAATCAATAGTGTTAACCTTTTCCTGTTTATCTTGTTCAAAGTCTACTACCATATTGAAATCTCGTGCCTTTTGTCCGGAGGTGTCCGGTTCTTGTCTCTTTTTCCTATTCTCTCTCTCTCTATTCCTTCTTCCTCTCTTCTTCAATTGTTTTCATTCCACTTTTCTTACTCATCCCTTCTCTCCTAAAATCAATATGGAAAAGGACCAGAAAACGGTTGAGTTTTCCGACGAACTGTTGTACTTTCACGAGTTCGATTCCATTGTGAGTAGATAGGATCAATTCTCAATAACACTCATATTAGGGAAAAGAGAATCATTTGATGTAAATATTATTTAGAAATGTTTGATGTTTGAAACGCTCTGGAATTCAACGAATTCTTAATTTTTTCAGCGAAACCTAAGCATGGGACTATTACGACCATCATTCGAGGAGCCATCCGCCAGGCTGATGCAAGGACCAGTGGTAAGAGCTATTTGAGATTTTCAGATGCTCACTCTACAAAATCCAGTTTTATAGACTTTGGGTGAAAATGAAGCGAGTTATGGGCTTTTTGAAATGGGGAAGAAATTCAAAATGTTGAAATAAGGCTCCCATTTCGGTCGGCCAGGAATCCGCCGATCGACCGCCGGCCGACCGCCGTAGCTTTTTGAAAGGATTGGGGTATCTCGAATGTTGAATTTTTCTCTTCACCATTATAAAATAATCCATGAATCTCTCTAGTTTTATTCGAGGTACAGTACTGGTCAAGATTGAAAATGGTCAAAATGGCCGAAAATCAACTGAAAAATACATTTTTGCATATCGTACTCCCTGGTACCGTACCTTGAGAAAAAAACCTCCATTTCGGCCGGTTGTACACCAGGGCGACCTCAAACCGACCGCCAACCAACGCGACCGACAGCCGACCGAGCTGACCGAACTCGTGCGTTGGTCGGCGGCCCAAAATTTGATGCGTGTTGGTCGGTAGGTCAACTAAACTTCACGACCGAATGGAAGCCTTACAGGGTAGTTATCATATTTCTTAATGGTTGAAAAATAAATCAAAATTCAAAATACCCCAATCTTTCAAAAAAGCTGTCCCATACTGACCCATCCCCCCTGGAATCAGATCACACCCACCATACAAGGCCGTCACTGACTGACACCGAATACATAGTAAAAGTCACATGAGTCTACATGGAAAATAAAAAGGAAAACAAAGTCTATTTATCCAATTGCAAATCTTTCATTCAGTTATCCCTCCTCATCTTTCATACTTCAAAACTTTCAGACTTCCGAAGAAGAAGAGGAATTCTCATCGTCCGAACGGCGACGCTACAAGAACTACACAGTGATGCAGAAAGCTGGATTCCAGCATACAGAGTATGCTCAGATTATGGTCCACCTCTGCCGCGCGGAGATTCTGATCTCTTTGATCTTCCTGGCTCATGGAACTACGTGTCCAGGATATCCAAATGAAGCGGAATACCAGTCTACATGCCACATGAATACAGTATCCGCTATTGTTAGTCTCCTTACTGGAGCCATGGGATTAGGAGCTGTGCATCGGTATCGGTGGAGAACTATGCTCATACTCTGGCTCGTTTTTTGTATCATGTCTGCTGTGGGAAGCTTGTTGGCTGTTATCACCACGGGTGAGTTTTCATGTTTTTTTATAATAAATCTCTTAAAACTCTGAAATTCTGAAGAGTCAAAAAGCTAACCTTCAAATCTTTCATTCAGTTATCCCTCCTCATTAGATTATTTTAAAAGCTCTAATACAAAAACATTCCAGGAATCTGGCTGGACCACTACTCAAAAATGAAGGTTCGAACGGGTCTGGGAAACGGTTTATCGGGATTCATGCTGCTCGCATCGGTTGCTCTTGGCGTTTGTTTCATCCTGACCGCTGTCATGATTTGTCATTATTGGAACTCTAACACGACCGGTTATCAACCAGTGCAGAGAATCGCTGTGAGTTTTACCGTAACGACAACTACCGTAACCGGAAAATATTTTTATCAGGTTTTTTCGCGTTTTCACTGTTTTTCGTTGAGTTTTCCAGAAGCTTTAAACCTGTAACAGAAGGCCCCGAACTTTGAGCCAATTATCTCGGTTCATCACAATATCACCAACATGTTATCAGTTGACAGGCTTTCGATATCTCCAGTAGGAACAAACAAGTTTTACTATATTTTTCCCAAACACGTTTAAAAATAAAAATTGTTGACAGTGAAAAATTGACTGAAAACACTTAAAATCCGGAAAATAAACATATTTTTAGGTTACGGTAGTTGTCGTTTTGGAAATTCGGTCGCGACCACCGAACTTTCTCTTCTACAGCTCTTCTTTGTATTATTCTTGCCGCCAAATCTTGCGGAACAAAATTTATTTAAAGGCGCATAGTCGGTCGGGAAGCGAAAAAAGCAACAATTTTTAAATGAGTGTATGCGGCTTTTATACCGTACTTCGAATGTATTTAATTTGATCCGTTTTCAGATGTTTTTCTATTTTATAACGGCATTCGGCCAAAATATAGAATAATGAGAATCAAACAAAAAATGACAGGACGTAGCAGAAAATTAATTGGAAAATGCAAAAAATTAAACAATTGTGTAGTACGGTTTTAAAAGCTCATATAAGCTCTCATGCATTTATTATAAACATTTCGCTCTTTTCGCTGAAGGCCCGATAATGCGCGTTTGAATACATTTTCAGCCGCAAGGTTTATCGCAGACGCGTCTAGACGGAAAAGAATGATAATACGGCTGAAACGAAAGCTTCTAAATAACTATCGCTGAATTTTTGAAGCCAAAATTTCAGAAAAATCAATTTTGCTTTCGAAAATTCTCGAAATTCCCCCTTATTTATTTCGCGCTTTCCTCACAAATTTATCTTTTTTTCAGAAACGCGCTCGATCCCTCCGGCGACGACTATCACGAGCCAAGAGCTGTGACAAAAAGGACGCGAAACCGCCAACGAGTAATCCAGAAGATAAAGGTTATCATATTGTTTGAGATTCTCCCCGTTTTTTCCTTTTTTTCTGAATTTTGTTACAAAAAAAAACGGGTCGATGCCATCATTTCAATGTTTTTCTCTCTGCTCCCCCTTTTAATCTCTCAACATTCTTTTTGCAATAAAGATTTTGTGAACTTTATTAAAAGAAATTCCAACAAATTATTTCAATACAAAAAAATTAACAATAACAGAATCAAATCAAATCAAAAATCGAGGTCATTTATTTAGTTTTCCTCGGCGCCTCTCTGAAAAACCGTTGTTGTTTTGATGCAGTTGTCTGATTCGAAGAACTTGTGATTCTATAAAACAAAAGAAGGTTAATTAGAAAGGAATTCAGGCAACAGTCACCTGTAGTTGTGTCCGTCCTTGCCCAGACAACGAACGATTTCACAAATGTTCGCGACGTCATCGATTCCACTGTGATGGCGGCCCTGAAAGATTGAAATCATGGAAAAATGTTTTTAAAAAACCGATGAAACTACAAACCTTATGCTGCAAGTCATAGATTTTTAGCAGCTGAGTCATCCCCTTGGCAAAATGATTTGTATGTGCTGCATAGGCTTTTTTGACATTGATCCATTGGGTGAAGTACCTGAAAATTGGGTTTAAAGGTGGTGTACGGTGAATTTTTTATTGACTTTTATGACTTACTCTGGAATTTTCAAATTTTTAAATTTCGCCTCATTCGTCAGCGCCACTTTCAAATCCCAATCTCCGCAGGTTACAAATGCGAAATTCCCCTTTTCCAGCCTAGAATCCTCCTTCATCCACTCGTCGAAATTTTCTAGAACATTCGAAATCGTCGGTTTGTCATCCACCATTTCCTGAATAATTCCAGTCAGCGTCGTACAGAACGAGCTGAGCTTTGGGCATTCCGTCGGGCGAACATACTGATGGAAACGTCGAATTTCAGACCAATCAGACGTGGATAGTTGCACGACTGGGAATTCGATAATCTCCTGAACCGGAAGCATCGGTCCAAGGGAATTTTCTTGACATGTCGCTTCGAAATCCAAAATTAGAAGATAATCGAATTGTTGAGCCATGTTCAGGTTTCCTTTCTCTTTTGTGGCGAAAATTGGATACCTGGGCGGTGCTTTTACTTCTCTACTCTTCACTAGCTTGAAATCTTGAACAAATGTTGACGGTTTTGTCGATAATGCCGCTGAAAAATTGAGATAAAATAGAAAAATGAAAATGAAAAAATTACCTACTTCGTTTAGCAACAACCTGGTAGATTTTACGAATACTTGATAATTAGACAGCATTCTAAAGAATTTATAAAAGGTTTTTCACTTGTGAAATATTCCACAATCTGACAAAAACAACTAAAAAGTGCAAAAAATTATTTTTTTTCCCTCAATTCCCTGTTTTCCTCGAGGAGTACACGGACGCATGGCCTCGCATTTCCTCTTCCATTGTCGATTTACGGCGCGCAATACCACGTTTTGTTATTGCTCCGAAGACGTTCCTGCACGATTTCATCAGATGTTCTTCTTCTTTTTCTTTGTCACAGCTATAATTCTATTCGGTGTACTATGTCTGACAGCGTTCATGGCATTTCAAGTGCGGCATTCCAATCATTCGGCGAAAATTAAGCCGAGAAAAGAGAAGGTTTTAAAAATACTCTTGTAATCTGAAAGTACCGGTTTTTAGGCATCACTATGTGCAGTACTCGGCTCAGGAGGTCACACCACAGAAATGTTCGAGCTTATCAAGCATTTCGGCGAAGAATTCGAGACGAGAACTTATATCATAGCGGATACGGATACAATCAGCGAGGCTAAGGTTAAAGGAGTCCTATTCTTCAGCTTATGAATGAATTTTAGGCAAAAGAGCACGAAAAGTCTCGAAACAATGAGAAATTTGTCATTGAACGAATTCCTAGAGCTCGAGAAGTCGGACAATCCTATTTCACATCGATTGCCTCAACGTTTCATGCGACAGTGTTCGCTGTGAAATTGATTTACAATATTCGGTAAGCAACCAATTTTCTGCACAAAATAAAGTAATAAATTTTTCACATTAATTAATTTAATTTTAATTTTAATTTGTTTTTCTAAAATTGACCAATTTCCAGACCAGATCTCGTGCTCCTCAACGGCCCTGGAACATGCATCCCAATCGCTCTCGCAGCTGCATTCTTCGACATGATCCGCCTCATCGACACCGTTATCATCTACGAAGAATCGATTTGTCGTGTCAAAAAGCTCTCGCTATCCGGTGGAATTCTCTATTATCTCGGAATGGTCGATTGTCTTATTGTCCAATGGCCAGGACTCAAAAGGAAGTATCCACGTGCCACCTACATTCATGATCTGGAAACTAAAACCGCTGTTTCTTCCCCAGATACTTCTGCTGATAAGAAATCAATCTAATTGATGTTTTTTTTGTGTAAATATACTGGATTGTGAATCTCATGGCTTTTTCTTTGGTTTTATCGCTTTATTTGTACATTTTTCTCGCTTTATTCATTTATCTTACAGCATTTCCGAGTGAATTTTTGGAAGACCCTTTGTGTTGTTTTGAGGAAAATTGAGATTCGAAATTTCTAATTTTTTCAGGCTTCGAAACATTTTCATATTATTCTTTTCCGGTGGCGATGACGGCTGAAATCAAGCGAAAACAGCTACGCCTTATTTGAACAAATAGTTTGCTTTTTTTTCAATTCTCGTGAATAATCTGTCGAATTTCCTTTCAAAGTAGAAAAACTGCTAAAAGTGCGTTGGTCATAGTAAATTAATTTTCGAAGGAGCATGTATTTATTCAAATAAAAAACCGTAGCCTACGGTCCGTAGGTGTTGGCAAATACTCATTAGTTTGATGATCTTTTGCTAAATGCTCATTTGCTAAATATGCTCATTTGCCAAACTCGCTCATTTGCTAAAATAGTCTCACTTGCTAAATTTCATTTGCTATATTTTGATCATTTGCTAAATAGAGGGTTTGTTCAAATTGAAGGCTTATAGTTAGGCTGAAATTCCTTAGCGGAAACGGGCGTTACATCCTAAGCCTGAAATACAAAAAAAAACAGAACCTGGGATATTCTGAAAAGAATATCAGTAAAAAATGACTGAAATTCCTAAGTAACAGCACAATTTCCAGTTGTTCATTTTTAGCGAATGATCAAAATTTAACAAATGAAACTTAGCAAGTGTGACTATTTAAGCAAATGAGATATTTAGCAAGTGAGCATTCCGTAAAAGATCATCAAACTAATGACTATTTGTCGTAGGTGTTTTCGCTGCTGGACCGACGATACGCTCACTTGGGTT